CCGTTGATGTTAACCCGAACGATTTAGAACAAGGGCCGGTCGCGATCGCAATATTGGCACACTCTATAAGCTCTTGCAGGATTTGCAGCGTTTCGCTGCCCATGACACCCCGCGCTTAAGTGTACTCGATCCCCGTGAGGGGTGATGAAATATGGTCCTTCAAAGCCTCTCAGACGTTCTGGGCCAAACATCAACCCCTCTGTCTGAGTCCCTCTCGTGACCCTTTCGATGCTCGAACTCGACATAGCAGTACCTGCCATAGCTGTCGTGTTCCTGGACCTCAAACTGCTTCCTGACATTCTTGGAGAGGTTCCTCGAGTGGCCCTAGGGGGTGTACTTATAGTCCTGGACGTAGGCCCGGAAGAGCTCGCTGCTCCTCCAAAAGGGCTTGTAGGTGCCGCTTGTCTATGGATCTCCTCCTGAACCGCTGCCTGTGCTCGATTCCGAAGTCTTTCCAACTTCTTCTTTCGTTTCTGGCACCCCGTCCACTGACCATGTAGAAAACCAAAACACTTCTTTAATCCTTCCCAGACAGCTACTGCTGCCAGAATACACACCATCATCATGCCATAGAACTCAATGGAACCATCCAAAGGTAGATCATCTTTAGCACCTTCAGCACCACGAATAAGCATTAGGCACAGAATGACAAACAGCAACACTCCTCCAGTCGTTGATGCCCTCAAAGCCCTCAATGCCACCTTTGATGTCTCAGCACTGAAAGGGATAATTCCCCAAAGACATACCAACTCCTTGAACTTCGGCAAGTCAAACCCTTTTGTGCCTATGTCAGCTTTCTGTAGGGCTCCTGGTACGTGGGAAATCACCAAGCGCTGCGCGGCGACTTCTTGCCTCAAAAACCTCGCCCTGACCCGTAGGTGCCTTGTCTTCCACGTGCCAGGCGCTTCTGAAGCTAGGCCTTGAGCAGCAGAATTGTCAATCCTCAAATGCATCACCGGGCACTTACAGAGTTCCGCAACCATGGCAGCTACGCCCAACCCCAATTGTACAGCAGCTACGCCCTCGTACAACTCCGCCTCGGCAACCGACAGAGTAATTATAGGTTGTTTCGAGGCTCGCCATGATACAGGCATTCCGCCGACTTGTGCCATGATACATCCGAAACTCCGGCCCCCGCCTGGGGCAAAACTTGCGTCGCTGTAAACGACTAACAGCGGGTCATCTCCACTTGCCTGGTAAAGGAGCCCGTAGTCAGCCGTCTTAGAAAGGTACTGCATGACCCTCTTACTGATCTCCAACGCCCGCAAAAGTTTTTTCAACGCCTTAGAGGCCATACATGCAACCGAGTGGGCAAGTTCTGGACGACTCCGTGTTGAAAGCCACAAAGCCTCCCCCGTCACCTTTTGTGCCATCCTCACTGTAGCTTCTTCAGGTTCCGGGCTTTCATCCTCTGTATCTTCATCTTGCAACCACTCGCGACTGCAAGGCACTGTAAGGTGGCCCCCAGGTTGTTCGTCAACGCCATGCTGTCGTAGTAGATCACGTACATATCCGGCTTGAGAGATATGAATACCTCCTCCTTGCAACCTCAACTCCACACCAAGAAACCTCAATGCACCATCAGACAACATCTCCAAAGCCGAACACTTCCATTCAGAAATAAGCCATGTGTATATGCACTTGATGATGCCCGGCACGGAAAGCACGAGGATGTCGTCCACGTAAATTAACATCAATCCAGCCGTCTCCTCGGGCTGGTCCTCGTAACACACTCTCCACAAGTTCTCGTCTGTGTCCAGGTTGCATAGAAGTAGTACTCGTCCTTCATGTTCAATGCGAGCTGAACGAAGTCGATCGTTACGAAACAGACTCCATAGCCTGGGTGCTTCCCGTAGTCCGTACAAGACCCGCTCAATCTTCCAGGTTTCCCCTGGTTTTGCTGCACCAGCTAACACCACAATGGACGGTGGCATAACCCCATACATCAGGTTGTCTGGCATCGGCGCCAGCGTAAAAGCATTGGAAATGTCAGTGCAACCCGCTGTCCACTGTCGTAGGATTGCGTACGCTATGCTCACTCGCAGTGTATCGGCCGACGTGCCGCTGGCGTAGACGTTGTCCCTGCCATGTGGCAAGAAATTGCCACAAACCACCACCCTGCACTTTCTTCGAAACCATTCTCCACTGGCTGCATCGGAAGGAGGTTTTGCTGTGAATACAGCCTTCCCCGGTAGCACTTTTAAGCCACATGCCTTGAGCTCCCTGGTTTGTTCCGGCGATAAAGGCTTTATTGTCCCACTGCCAATCAAAGCGTCAACCTCCTTAAAGATCGAAGCCGCCCATTTGCTGACATTCTTCCTCACCTCCTGCAAGGAAACATTGTGTACCACTTCCAAAGGTGCTTGTAGTGATTGAAGTAGTGGCTCGACCTCATAATCCTTGGCCTCGCCCGGTGATATCTTTGCAACCCTCCGCAAGACATGCCCATCAAACTCCTGAAGGTCACGTTCACATACTTCACGAGCATATTCCAACCGCTGCAAATACTCCGAACACAGTGGTTGTTCGCAGCTCATATCACCAACCTCCTCCTGTAGGACACAACGTAGGACTTTGGCCCGACCCTCAATCTCCTCTTCGTACAAATTCTCCTCGGAGTCAAAGACCTGCCACCATTCACCGCCAGACTCTTCATCATCATCCTGGAAACTCACAGGTACTTTCACACCAGTACCCTCCAACGGAAACCCACAGCCACCAAGAGCTCTTCGTAGTGCTGGAAGTAGCTTCTCAACTCCTAAAGGTGTAAAACCGACCATCACCCATCGCTCCACCTCTGGCTTCAAGTAGGCATGCTCTCCCTTGGGATCAAAAGCTATAGCTTTCTGGTTGATGTTGAAAAGGGTTCCATCTACAATCTTTCCATCCGGTAGCTCTTGTTGTAGCTCACGTGCACAACCCCCACCTCGACACTCACGAACAGCATTTCTATTGGAAACCCACAATCCACCCGACTGTGTTCCTCCAATTTCCACCGCGTAGTTGAGGGAGTTCGGCTGGTTTCGTTGATCACGATGCGGAGGTATATCTGCTGCTCGGAACACACCAATGGTCGTCCACGCTCCAACTTCCCCAAGATCTTCCTTCACCTTGGCCTTCAAGACTTCATTCAAATATCTCGTGAGCCATGGGCGCTTCTTCCCTTGTGCAGATACTCCGCGCAACCCCCCATGAACGTAGGCACCCAAGATCATAGATGTGGTCTGCGTACCACGGCCCTGCGTCCTCATTTTTCCATCTATATTCAGTTCTTGTAGTACTTCGCCACATGCCTGTAGATCGAACATGCCCTTGTCGTAGAAATCCTTTGCTTTACATTCTTGTCTTTCTAAAATAGTCATTACTGACCACTCTTCCTCCTCCAACACGCTGGTGTACTCATCTTCATCGCCTAATCGAAGTGCTCGTAGTTCAGGTGGTCTCTGCTTCCCCGTCAGCCGATGGTCAGGTTCCGGTAGATCAATAATTGCCTTATCCTCCTCCTTAGGCGCGGCCTCGTCCTCATCCTCAACTGGATCTTGTAGTAGACGCCGAGGATCAACAACTCCTGCTCGGTTCAAGGTTTCCGTCAGAATCCCCGTGGGTCTAAGCACACTAGCTCCTCCCTTGATTGTATCCGACATTCCCAAATACGTTCCCTGCTCCCATCTGTCTGTCAGGTCATACTTCTTGTTGTTGCCGAACACCGTTCGTCGAACCATCACCGTTGTTCCAAACGGCAACAATGGAGGTTTGCTTAGCCCAAGCTTGTAGTAGATCTGACGATTTGATGCATGTTGCATAGCCAACGTCCAATACTTCAACGAAACATTCGCCTCCGAGAGCAACACTTTGGCCTTTGTCTTAAACCAACGAACACCTCGTTCCGCAGCACCATTCGTTTGAGGCACCAAAGACTCCGAACGGGTATGAAAAATATCTCGCTCAAGTAGCCACTTCCGCAACCCCTTCGAAGCAAACTCAGATCCTCGATCGGAGTGTAGCCTTGCCACCGGGAACCCCAGCAACTTTAGCCTCAACACCGCTTCTTGCACCGCCAACATAACATCTCCTCCACGCCGGTTTCGCACTGGATAAACCATGTAAATCGTATCCATCTCCACAGGTTTTGTGAGGTCACCGATCAGAGCTTCCCAGGACTTCTCATCCTTCTCGAGAACCTCCTCCTCTTCCGTAACCTCAGCCTGAGAGATCTTGAAAGTAGTCGCTCCGGTCCACATCTTGTCCAGGCTTCGTGCTCCCGACTGGTAGCCATGCCAGTCCGAAGTTTCCATCTCTGCACCTCCACCAACGTACTTCACCTCGGTGACCCGTGTAGGTTCCAGTTTCGTAGGCGGCACCGGACATCCGTTCGCCTTTGTAGGGCGGAACAAACGTAGCCTTGAAACAACGTGATGTCGAACAAGAATTCCTTCAGCTTCTCGGAATTCCCACCAATCCTCCGTAGCCTTGCCTACTCTTTCATCCACAGCCAGGCTTGTAGTAGAGGACGTCGGTGCAGAATCGGCTGGCTTCAACGGCTCCTCCACAGCTTTCTCTCCCTCGTCGAGCGACAGCTCATAGTCCTCCATACCCTCCTCAGCAATATCTACCTCAAACTCACCAATGCCCCCAGCTTCCTCCCTGACCTTAACATCCAGGTCCCAGCCCCCCAACTCATCATCATCGATAGGTTGGTCTTCCGGCATCATCTTAAGCTTCGGGAACTGGTAGGTAAACACCACTGCAAACTTCTCGCCCTTGGATCCGGCTACTCTGACAGGTCCCAAAGTATCCGCACTCAGCACATAGCAATCCTTGTGCAGGCACTTTCTGTGAGGTCGCCCGGTGGAGTTGTGGATGCACTGTAGACAATCAGCTCTGTGGGGTAGATGATCATTTGCAAGATGCCGTTCCCACGCCTTGCGGTCCACCGCCCTCAACGCTCTAACCATCCTTGTGTACCACCCAGGACGTTGTTTCCACCTCTTCATTCCCTGCACCAAAACTCTCACCATCATCGGTGCCCATGTTGCCCAACATACACCCTTAGTAGGCCATTCATTGCGCCGATCTTGCACACCACGTAACTCCACCACATCGAGGTTCGTAGCCATAGTAGTAGGTCTGCGCAACGCGTGTCCAAAGGCACCTTGGTCAAAGTGTATCACATCCAGGAAACTATGGGCAACCCACTGCCTGAACCACTTATGCAGCCACACCGTAGAGCTCTCGTCCTCTTCTGCTTGTGACGACGCCCACAAACTCATCGCCACCCCGTCTTCGGGTACGTCCACCGCCTCACACATGATTCGACGGCCCATCTTGGCAACCTCATTGATCACCACCACCCTTAGCGCATGCTCAAACGTGTTGCTCTTTGGTATAGCCGCAAAAGTTCCAGCAATCCTTCCCGTAGCCGCCCCCCATAACAAGAGTGTTATAATACCTTGGTTGGTGTTCAGCATATCCAGCTGTGCCCATCGCATAACGTCAATGTCCAACACCATCGTTCCGTTGTTCTCAAACATCTTGAACATCTTGTCCACATAGGAGCGCTTGCCACTGTAAAACCGTACAATCCAGTCTTTATGCATCATTCTCTTCCTCATTCTCCGATTGAACCCCAAAGCCATCATAAGGTTCCAGGCCTCCTTCTCGGTGTGAGGGATATCAAAGATGGTCTTTACAAGGTCCTCATTCATCACGTCAGTTGCCCAGGGCATAGAAGAAATCGCACAGTAACCATCCTCAAACTTACCGGTCTCCACGAACTTCTTGAGGTTCCTTTCCCAACCCGGGTCCTTTTCAACCTTCATCGCCCTGACAAGCGTACGTTTTGACTCCTCCATAGCCCTTTCAAGCCGAGTGAGCTTCTCTTGTTCAATCTTGGCGATGAGGTCCAAAGCCAAGGCTTCATTAACCTCAGGGCATCCCGAGGTCATCTTCAACACTTCTTCGCGTCCATCTGGTGACCTCAAAACACACTTCTTCTTGGACCAAATAAGCTCATACCCAAGAAGACCAATAAGGTTCCCAACTGGTACTATCGTCTGAGGTCGCCTTCCGGAGCCTTGAGGTTCTGTAAGCAATGTGCCCGCCGTGTTCTGCCTCATTGTAGTCACACCATCACCCGCAATCACCACATCGACTTCCGGAGCCTCCGCCCATTCATCCGGCCGGGCCTCACGCAACGGATGCGTGGCACCCGAATCAACAAGTGCCAGCCTGTTCTCAAAACGTCTGACGGCCTTCTTCAACATTTTCATGGACGGGCCTTGGGGCTGTTGAACACCTTGCTTCTCGGTCATCATCTTCAGGATTTGCGTGGCATTCTTTAAGAAATCATCAATATCACCGGCGTTCCCCCTGTTTCCCGAAGCCGTCGACGCTGTTGAAAAACCTGCCTCCGCCGAAGATGCCGTAGTAGCCGCCGGGGTGGTATTCGATGACTGCTGGGCTTCACCTCCAGGAGCTGTGCCATCATCACGCTTCCCATCTGACCCCTTGTTTGCCGAAGCCATAGTTGCCCTCACTTTCGGACCGGCAGCTCCCTTTCCTTCTTCGCCTTTGCGACCACCATCAGAACTCCCCCTCAAAGGACACTGCTTCTTCATATGTCCCTTGGCACCACAATTCTTGCAACGCTCAGACTTCTCCTCCTTCGGGATATTCGCCCAGTCGTGCACAAACTTGCAGTTTAGCCGCTGGCAGCCGCTCTCCTGAGCAAAGAACTTGCAGGGTCTAGCAGAGCCCGAGGCCGAAGGAGATGAACCTCCCTTTTGCGTGCTCGTAGGTGAGGTTCCTGCATCACCAACTGCATTAGCCGCTCTCACAGCAGCTGCAGCTATAGGACCGCCTTTTCCCCTGCCACGGTAGGCCAGCTGCTCAAACTCTGCAAGAAGGTGGCCATGAAACCGAAGCACTGCCGTCTTGGTAGGAGCCGCATCCAAATCCAAGGAAAACCTCAACATATTCGTTCTGAAGAAAATCTCGTTGTTCTTCTCCATTAAAGGTTTCGTCGCCACATCAAGCCCCTTCAACAGAATCGATGCGTCAGGAGGCTGGAGTCCTAGATCTTCTGCGCGCTTTAGCCACCTAGCCCACTTACGTAGTATCTCAACCAAGTCCATGGGGCTTCCACCAACACCTGGGCTTTCAAGTGCTTTTAACACTTGTTGTCTTTCGACCGAACTCCCTGGCCTGTATATAGTGAGAATACGACCAAGGATCGCCAAAGTCGTTGACAGGCGGTTTGCCATGAGCTCCGACTTGATCGCCTCCGGGACCGCCTGCAGCAGCATTGATGCCGCCCGCTTGTCGACTCTCGCCCAACGCTCTTCTCTAACTCCCGGACGAGCGAAATCTTCAGCCTTCAACTGGACCTTTCTAACTGTGGTCGCGGCGAGGTACTCCTTGTAGTAGTCATCTAGACTTCGCATCACATCAGCCCACCATCCTCCGGAACCATCAGTAAGGTCCCCCATGGGACCCGTCAACCCGTGCAACCAGTCTCCAACATTGATCGCCGCATACTCATCCGCCTCCGGCAACTTAGGCAGTTCACTCCCTGTGATACCGGGCCTGATTGATTCAGGCTTGTTGCTTTGGCGATCCAGCTGCAACGTCATCGCCTGATGCAACTGCGACATTCCTTTGAGGAGTGCTTCCATCGGGGACGATACAGGTCCCTCATCAAACTTCGGCCTCTCATCTTTCGAACCTGTTTCGTTCTCACCCGCCTGGTTCTTTACGCCATCTCCAATCCCCAATGGGTTCCATGTTGTGTGCCCAGAGGTACTTGACGCATACTGCTGTTTTGGAGGACCAGAGGTACTTGACGCATACTGCATATTAACATAATGACCCCCACGACGGCTGTGTCCTGAAAGTCCTGCTGGATTGCTGCTGGGTACTCGAAATTCCCCACATTCACCATCATTCTCCTGAAAACTCACTCTTCCCCGAGGCTCACCTCCACGCTCTGGAAGTCCCGAAAGATTGCCTCCATGTACATGAACGCTCTTGCCCCTCAGGCCCTCAACCTCGCGACTTAACACATCCCTCATAGACATGCCTCCAAGGTTGTACGAAGCCACGTCAGCCCCCTCACTGATCCCTCCGCCGTGTCCCATAAGTCCTGCAGGATTACCCTCCAAGCCTCCATGTAGTCGACCCTCTTCACTAGGTCGCTGATCATCATGGCCTGGGCGTCCTGCAAGATTGCCACTGGGTACCTTGGCAAGATCAGAAAGTCCAGCTTGACCCCCGTGCTCACGGCTGTGTCCTGAAAGTCCTGTTGGATTGCTGCTGGGTACTCGAGATTCCAGGACCGTGAGCCCCGGTGGGGCGCCAATGTCTCCATGAGCTGCCTCTCCGCGCGTAGTCGTTCCGACCTCACCAGCGCCCGACCTCACTGAAGCCTTTATCATCTCCAGTTCCTGTCTCAAGCGCTGATTCTCATCCACCAACCCACGCTGACTAGCCATAGCCGCCTCAACTTGTTTCCGCACTTCCGACTCCAGCTGTTCTCTTGAATACGACCCCGAAGTTTCAGAGCTCGCACCACCTGCAGCCGTCATCGTTGCACCGTACAACTGAGGCGCCTGTCCTTCTAGTTCTCGTAGTCGCCGCAACTGCCTACCAGAAAATAAAGACTCACCCTCACTCTCTGCAGACCTGGCTCTATTCGGCGACCACGTAGTTTCTTCCACCACGGTAGTCGCTTCACCGGTCGGCCTTGTGTGTGCCGTTGCTCTCCGCTGCACATACTCTCCCAGCCGACTGAACCACCTCATTGCTGCCGCTCCCTGCTGCATGAAGCTTAGCCCTGTAGCTGAAGCAACATCACTTCCTTGCGAACCATCCATAGGAGAAGGAAACGGTGATGGTGGAAACAACTGCGCAGCTGTACTGGCCCTCATCGGCATCGTCAACGTAGAAGTACTTGTATTAGCATGCGGCAGCAGCAACCTATCACCATCCTCTCTTCGCGCAGGTACGGTTTCAGCAACTCGACCCTCATCACTGGCTCTTACATCCCGACGAACATCTGCATGCATAGAAGAACCATCCTGTCCTGATCCCAAATGCATAGCTGCTCCAAGGTCTTGTTCAAACCCAGCATCGTTGCTTGCAGTCTCTGCCCGACGAGCCTGGGGAGGAACACCATTAGGAAGAGCAGCTGTAGGCCTGGCATCCGCAGGAGCGCCCCTTGGGCTCATAACCTGTTGATGACTGTCGGGCTGGCCAGAAGGTAAATCGTTCGGGTTAACATCAACGG